TGTCTGGCCTCTGGCAGGTGCTCAAGAAACAAGTGCTGTGAAATGGATGCACAAACGCCAGTCGGAGGCCAGGTTTTGGGGTCCAACTCACAAGCATGCCAGGTGGTGGCCAGCACCTTGGCTCTCAGACCTGTTAAAGGGAGGGCCATGGTCGTTTCAGGGCCACCGCTCCTGAGCAGTTCATCTCAGGCCAGCAGCTGCTCAGGGCCGAGTAAGAGCATCGCTCCCACACCACAGAGGTGGTGGCCGGGCAGCCGGCGTCAAGACACCACAGGGAATCAGGCGAGCATGCACCGGGCAGGAGGGCTGTGTGGACGGGGTGCTGCTCTAAGCTTCTGGTGGAGGGCGGTGTGCCCCAGGAAGGGAGAGAAAAACGGTGTCCCAGAGTAGCTCAGGCTTCGGGAAAACATGAGAGAGGAGCAGTTTCAGGGCTCCTCTGTGGATCCCCAACCTCATCCTGGCTGAAATAATTTCTCTAGACTCAAACCCTCACCCTCCCTGGTGAGGCAGGATGGCGTAATGGTTAAGAACAAGGCCCAGGGCTCAGACAGTTTTGGGTCAGCTGCTCACTAACCAAATGACCCTGGGCAGGTCACCTCCCAGACCCCCAGTCTTCTCATCTATGAAAGAGCGACAGGAACAGGGCTGTTGTGAAGACTGAAGAAGACCCCCTTGCAAGAAGGCCCTTAGCACGATGCCTGGTTCTGGTAGCTGGTTTCCTGTTTGATTTGATCTTGGCTCTAAGGCACCTGCTGACCCTTCTACCACTGATTCCTCCCCCTTCTGAACTCCACCCCTGCCTCACGCCTACTCGTCACCCCTGTTAGTGACGAGGTCTTAGGTGCGAGGTCGTATGAGTTGGACAGCAGGATGCCTGCCTTTGTCCCCAGCTCATCACTCCTGCTCTGTATACCAGGCTTCCTGCATCAGATTACTCTTCTCGCTCCATCCCAGGGCACCATCAAGATAATTCGTGGAATGTACATTTTATGTACACCAAGCTCATTTAAACCATTTCTGGTCATCTTTGCATGAGTTTCGGAGCCCTTTTCCATTTTGCCTTCTTCTGAGCATTGCAAAGAATTTAAAAGTCAGTTTTTAAAAAATGCTTCTACCTAAATTCAAGGAGGAAAAGCACTGTGATTTACTAATCAGAAGGTAGGGCCGTGAGAGAAAGTCAACAGAGAAGACGGTCACTCCCTTGTGGTTAGAGGAACATTCATTCCAGCATTTCGCACTTATGTCTTCTCTTTTATCTTTCTTTTCTGATAAATAAATTCTATTGTGTATATTTACGGTAGACAACGTGATGCTATAAGATGCCTGCACGTACGTGCTCGCTTCGGCAGCACATATACTAAAGTTGCAACGATACAGAGACTAGCAAAGCCCCTGAGCAAGGATGACACACAAATTTGTGAAGCATTCCATAGTTTTGCTTTCACTGTCAGAAGGAGAGGACAGAACTGTGGTGACTAGAAGTGGAAAAGGGGGAGGGGGTGCGAGGGCTAGTGAAAAGTTGGTTAATGGGCACAAAGAATGATCGTGTTTGTAATGATGAATATGCTAATTATCCTAATTCAATCATCACCTATTGTACACAAGTATTCATAGTCAATTCTGTACCCACAAATATGTATAATCAATTATGTTTCAATTTAAAAAACCACATAATGGCAATATAATACTGTTTTGTGTGATCCCATATATAAAATGCTGTGGGTGTATGTGCTTATAAATATATAAAAAATTATTTGAATGCAG